CCCAGACCCAATTAGGAATATAGGGACCTCGGGGTTTAGTGAAAATATGGAATTTTTGGAGCTTGAGGGTGCTTCATATCTTCGGATACTTGTCCACCACACTATCTGTGGACAACCTCTTTTCCTCAGTGATAGTCCGCAGTCCTTCGGTCTTTAGTCTGTTGAGAGACCGGGGAGGAGGATCTTGTACAGGTGGCGCTGGGACCATAGTCTGAGCTGAAGCTAGGGAGAAAGAGAAGTCAGAGGCACCTGGATCCTAGACGGATCATGCATACCCTTGGAGCGAAGCTCTGATCTCTGGGAATGTAGAAGCTAGTCATCCTTAGGCTCAGAGATGGAAGCCTTAAATACTGGAAATCTCCCTCATTGTCTAATGAGGTGAGGTGAGTCTCGTAGACCCCCTCATTGTCGGAGCTGACCTCCGGTGACTCTACCACGAGCGCCTTTCCCTTTCGTTTGCCTTTTTCTCCCTTAGTATGAAGCTTAGATTCCTTTGCCTTGGATGCATCTGCATCATCATTTATCACGACTCTATTTGCCTGCTTGCGGGCGGCATGTCTCTTCCTGACACTTTGGGTCTAGCCATTTCTGCAAAACACATCAAAAAGTGTTAGAAACAGTCCAAGAAAATTGCTTATATTTAGTTGCAGAAAAACTCACCGAACCAGTTGGCGAGTCACCGAGTCTCTTAGGCGAGCTAGATCAGGCTCGCTGAAAGTACTGGCGCAAAATATTCCTAGAATCAAGACAGTTCGGTGATGTTCAGGGCCATTCAGCGAATCACCGACACTAATCGGCGAGCTAAAAGTAGCCCGCCAAAAGGTACAGTGCATTTTAAGGGTTAGGGGCGCAGAAATGGCTATAAAGAAAACTTTTCGGCGAGTCGGCGAGTCACCGAGTGAACTCGGCGAGCTCAGGCATCTCGCCGAAAGTTACAAAACAAACTCAACTATAATTTGAAATTAAGGGCGATCTGAGGGGGACATCGGCAAACTGCCGAACCACTCGGCGAGCTCGACGTAGCTCGCCAAATGGCCCAACGTGCCAGTTTTCAACCCTAAGTTTCAAAATCAAGCCCGTAGTCCCCGATTTCAAAATCAAACACAAACACTATACAATTAAAGGTAGACACATACGATCCATGCCCTCGGGGTACTCAGACTTCCCCCGATTTGGCCAAAATTGGTCATTTGACGACTTTAACCCATAAGAATGACGTCAAATGCTCCATCATTAGGTAAATTACGTCATTAAACATAATTCGGGGTTACTTAGACTTCACCCCACTAGACCCAACACAAATAAACCGCAACCCAACAATTTAAACTCACTTTTAACATACAAAACATGGGAATCAATCAATTTTAGACCTTTAGGCACACATTTCAACAAACTATGGGCAATACAACACATAAAACACAGTTAAAGCAATTACCCAACATCAAACAACACCCAATTAGCTATTGCATTTCAGTTCAACCACAAAATTAAAGTGCGGTATTCGAAAAACCAACCTTAGTGCTGAAATTAGAATTTATATCACTAGGCGGCAAAGTTCCCCAACTCCGAGCACAAATTCACACACAAAATGCGGGTAAAAGCAACAAAATAATGAAGATCAACAATTTGGTGAGAGGGTACGAGAGTTTGAAATGAGAGAAAATGAAGGATTTTGAAATTTTAAACTGTTTGGCCCTAAAAACCTTTCAGTTCGTGGCCCTTTCGGCGATGTAAGTCGTGCTCACCCATCGCCGAGTGGCATTTCTCTCGTCGAGTTTTATAGGACTTCCAGCAAATCTGGGGGTTCAAACAGCAAGCAGAATCGGGATCGCCGACCTGTTTGGTGAGTCGCTGATTAAGCCTTTGGCCCACCGAGTTTTACAGAGTTCCCCTTCAAGCTTGGTGGTTCCAACGGCGGTCCAAGTCAGGGATCGCCGACCTATTCGGTGTGCCACCGATTGGACTTTGGGCTCGCCAAACTACCTATTTTTCAACACTCTTCACTTCTCAACCTGCACAATCAACACCCGTTATTCAAAATAAAAAAACTAAAGCATTAAAAAATTGGGTTGTCTCCCAAGAAGCACCTTAGTTAACGTTATGGCATGACGAGGATACCAAATCAAACTTCATTTTTGGGGTTTGCCAATATGTCACTAGGCAAACCCCCTTTTTGTCTTGGATTCAAATGAGAAGAAATTTGACCCATTTGGGTATCCAATTGCTTAATAGAGACTGAGTGTGAGGTCACCGTCTGGCTTAGAGTTGAAACATATTCTTTCATCTCTTTCGACACTTTGTCTGACCCCTCAACTTTGTTGAGAATGCGTGAGAGCATATTTTCTGTACGGCCACCTTCAGATTCCTTAGGCTTTTGACGCTCATGAGGAGGGACGTACCTATCCTTGTCCCCCTCTCTCTCCTTCAGGTGGCATTACGATCATGCCAATCTCTGTCACGGTCTCTCCAACTCTATTCCATCCTTGATTTCCACCCATTCTTGGGTAGTTTGAACAATAACCTCATCTTTGATTGGCTAGGAAGTTCACTTCCTCATTGTACAACACTTTAAATTTTGCTTCATCGAGGTTTGCTCCACCAACACCCACGGCATTAACACTCTTTGTACCAACACCCATGACATTTTTAGCCAATATATCCAACTGGGTCATCATTTTGGCCATGTTTTGGTCTCTCTCTTGATCCTTCTCGATCTTCTCTTTTGTCATTTTATAAGTGAGAGGAGAGACTTGGTCTTCACGAGTGTACCACGCCCTATTGATCTTGGTCATGCAATAAAGGAGTTGGGACGCTACTTCATAGGGTTGTTGCATTATACCACCAGGTGAGAGTTGATCACCCACTCTTTTGTTGACCGAATCGAGACTCCTATAGAAGTGTTGCAGCAGCAGATTATTTGGAAGTCCATAAGTTGGGCACTGAAGCACCAACTTCTTAAATCTCAGACATGTCTCATAGATTGGCTCGCCTTCCAAGCGTTTGCACCCTTGGATGCCATCCCTTAGAGTCATCATCTTTGATGGGGGGAATAATCTTACTTGAAATGTTGTGGTCAACTCATCCCAAGAGGTGATGGAGTCCCTCGGTAACTCAGCCAACCATTTAGTAGCTTCACCCATCAAAGAGAACGGAAACAACCTGAGACAGACCTATTCTTGTGATATGATCTTAAATGAGAACGGCTCACAGACATCCACAAAGTTCCTGATATGCTCATGGGGATCCTCATGAGCCAGTCCCTCAAATAATCCTTTCAATTGTAGGAGCTAAAGCACTGTGCTTGTGATGTGGAAAACAACGTTTCCTTTAGCCGGAGGTAGACGAATGATACCAACACCACCCACTTGGATTGGGTCATTGACGTTTGAGTCATTAAAATCATTGAGGGTCCCAATGTCGTCTTGGTCATAATTGAAATATCTATGATAAATTTTATAAGAAATGAGTGAAAAAATATATTTGATCATTAAAAGAATAAATTTAATATTTTATATAAATAAATAAATAAAATATTTTCACTCTCATTACATTGAAAGGGTATATCTAAGTCATTTGTGTAATAGTAGGGGTATATATGAACTATTTTGTAACGAATGATATATTAACTCCAAATCACAAAGTTAAGGGGTATATCAAACTCTCTTCCCTTTTAAAAAGGAAAAACTACATAAATTGTCATAAAGCCTAAAATAATTACAGGTTCATACCCAAACCCAAAGTAATTCAAGAAATATTCATTCTCTCATAAATAATTACAGCTCATATTCATTTTAATGAAACAACAACAATATACATATACTCTTATAATAGCATTGCCTAATGAGTAATTTCTAAACAAGAAACCTTAATGATATAACAACAATATACATATACTCTTATAATATCATTGCATAATAAATAATTTCTGAACAAAAACCTTAATGATACCAATATAGTATGTGTATATATGTACTCATTTAGTATCAATTAAGCGAAATTATCAGTTTTAATGATGCCAATATTGTATATGATACTTATTTAATATATGTTCAACAAAATTAGTTTTTTTTTTTTTTTTTTTGGGGGGGGAGGTATATAGTGTAATTACTTAGTGGGGTATGAATGTAAAGTGATATATATTTGTGATTATTTTGCTTTTATGAAATATTTGTTTAGTTTCCCCATTTAAAAATAACTTTGGGCCACTAAGCTCGATTTTGTCTCAATGCCCAAAAAGCAAAGATAAACTTTAATAAATAACACATGTAAGAGATGTAATTACTATATAGTTTTCAATACATATAGTACTCCTTCTGTCCAACAATAGTTATCCACTATACTATTTTAGGATGTCCAACAATACTTGTTCACTTTATGAAATCAATGGATAATTTTACACTTAGTTCCTAATTTACCCTTATCATTAATTATAGGAATTTCCTTATTGCATTTATCTAAACATTCTATTTATTATATTCAAAGGGTGATATAGTAATATTACTCTTCTATTTATAGTTTCTTAAGGGGTGTGCCAAATCAATAATGGACAACTATTGTTAGACAAAGGGAGTAGAGTTTTATGAAAACCTAACAAAATAATAAATCAATTATAAGAAACAAAAAACATATTTGATAAATTTTTAAACTATATGTCAATTTTGTTTTCCATAAAAAAGAGGTTTAAAACTAATAGGATATAATCTTTAAATTTTCTCCTAATTAGTTGGTATTCATTCCGTAAATTTCTCCTATATTTTGCATCCGCATAATCTCTCCTTTTAAAATTCATAAATACTATTATACGTACCCTTATTTTTCTCATTTATTTTGTCAAAACTCCATTAAAGATCAATTTGTATCTTTCATATATTTATACAGAGATGATACACTAAAACATGCTTGTCTAATAATACTCACTTAACTTCAAACCTTAATGGATCACTAGTTAAGTTTTTTGTCAAATTCAATTACTAATCTTCAAAAACGGCTATACTATAATATAAATGAAATATTTTTCTATATAATTATCCTTGTGACAAGCAAGATACATGAGGTGAGTTTGAAGAGGCTTTTCCTTTAACATTATTGCAAGTAGCAAAAATCTTTTTTCCAGGCTCAACTGAAGTTATGTAGATATTCTCCAACTCAACATTGGTGCAAGCTGTGCTATTACTACAATTCATATTTATTGCTAGCTTGCTGCTTGTAGTTCCATATATTTTCTTGTATGTTACATTGCTCACTTTAACTGCACTTACCTGTTCAGACATTTTTTTAAACAAAAAATAATTTTCAAATTTCTATCTTCTCTAGAAAATAATAAAAAAATGATATATTTTATTTTATTTTCACCTGAGGTTGACATGAATGACCACCATTGCAATAATTTTGATCAATAATGATTGGGTTTTCTACATTTTTGAGGTTAATATTCTCAAAATGTATAGACCTAGCATATCCTGAACCACCCTATGAACACATAAAAAACAGATATTTTAGAAAAAAACAATATATGCATACAATTATTAAAAAAATAAAATACCACACTAACATATGTAAAATGAAATGTGATACTTTTGGTTACCTGCCATGACTTAATTCTAACACCATTTTGGGTATCCTCTAAGTGGCAATTTGTTATATAAACGTTTTCCACATTAGCAAATGTATTATTTGGACCTAAACTTCCAATACTGCATACAAATTACAAAATTGTATTAGTTAATCTATGTCTAATAAACTGAGTTTTCTATTTAGAATAAAATAAGAAAATGTTCATGTTCTACCTTATACCATGACCTGGTCCACACCTAATACCAGTAATATTGATATCAGAGCATCCAGTATTGATGCCAATGCAGTCATCACCTGCTTTGTAAGATAAATTAATTTTTGCGTAAGAAATCAAACATTATATGCAATTAATATAAAACAGTTATTTCGAATAGAGAAAAAATAAACATTATATGGAAGCTAGTTTACCTGTTTGAATAATGGAGTCTCGAATTTGAACTTGGCTAGAGAAAAAGATATCGATACCATCAGTATTGCGACTATAATTTGGTGCACTTATATGAATATTTGAGATCGTTACTCCCTTGTTATAAGTAAGAATTATATGGTCCCTTGAACTATTCACTAGCTTTATTCCATTCAATCTAAGTCCATTACAGTAATTAAATTGAACCACCTACAAAAAAAAATCTTTGTAATCTTGTAAAGGAATATATGGGCAAAACCAAGTATTAAATTATATTATATTATAGTATGTTAAAGGATAGATAACACATACATTAGATTGATTTTATCAAATTTGAAAGAAAAGAGAAAAAGAAGTTCAAGTAGTGATTTGTACTAGACGCAGCCCTGTATTTCACTATAAGAAAATAAGAAATTAGCTATGGACAAAATTTCGTGGTTAAATAACAAAAATTTCGTACTAATCTCATTTAGTGACGAATTATATGAAATATCAATGAGTTAGGAGCTATTTAGCGACGAATAACCTAGGAATTACAATTACTGATAAAATTTCATAGTTAATGTCATGTTTCTAGAAGTAAATTTGATAACCATTTTATTAAATTGAATAGAAAGTGATTGCATGCATTATATGTACTACATACCGTTGGCTTAGTGCAAGTCCCGTTCACCTGAAACGAATAACCTTACATGTAAGTAATATTTATGAAAGCAATTAAACACGGTTCAAAAATGTTTTAGATTGTGTCACGCACCCTGGTACGGCTAGGAGTATCCCACCATCGTTGGCCATTGCCATTGATAGTACCAGAACCATTGATAAAAAGACCAGCAACTCCTGTAAAATAAATCCAACATACATTTTCACAACCTGTCCATGCCTCTGGGTCCTTGGGTGCTACAATAGATCCTGATAACTGCAAAGCATAACCTTAAACTAATAAAAAAACTTTCATTCATATAATTAGGACACTTCCACAAAAACAGTTTTTAGCAGCAATAAATACGCACAAAACAATGTTGAAGCATCTTATTCTTAATTACTTACTTGTATATGAATATTGATTGACTTACAAGGCCCTTGAAATGTAATAGGCCCTACTAGAAATGACCTTTCACTTGGTAGAAGTATTGATGGATTTTCATCACTACACGCAGCTCTCCAAACTTGTTTGAATGCCTATAAACAGGGAATCACAAGTAATAAAATTTTGATGAACGCTATCAAAGTATAGAAGTTAAACTCATTTTAATTTATTTATGTTTGCACACACGTAATAGTATTTTTCACAAACATATGAGGAATTGAAATTATTTGTATTACTTGAGTGTCATCGTGCACTCCATCTCCAGAAGCGCCATAACGTGTTACATCAAAAATACCAGCAAGACTTCTTTCAATAAGAAATGAAGTAATACAAATCAGAAAGATGAATGCCTGACCCTGCAGAAAATTAGGAACAAGAAACAAAAAATAAATAATTATGATAACCGATGATTATCGTAACAACTACTAGAAAAAATATTCCAACTCAAAATGAATAATAAAATTAAGAAGAGTCATTAATTGATAGCATACCTACTGAATTTAAATACATGAGAATATAAAATTGACAATTCCTTTTTCTTTTTCCTTTTTTTTTTTTGGCGGGGAGGGGATTGTGCTTCTTATGTGTATACATTTTTTTATATATAGCTATAAATTATATGTACACAATTGTCTAGATGTGAAATTTTTTTTCAATAAAATGGACACATGTATATATAATATATCGATATTGGATAAATAGTATAAAACTAATACTCCATCCGTCCTAATTTATGTGGTACATTTTGAATTTCGAGATTCAAATAAGTCTATCTTGACCATCAATTTTTCGTATATCTTTTAATTATTTTGAATTGTCAATTATTGTAGCTTATAGTACTTTTTACATAGTTTACAAATATACAAATTTCATTTCAAGAAAATTAAAGATTCCATGCGCAAATTTTTGGTGAAACTTAAATTATTTAACTCTCGATTTCGGTTTAACTAATACTAATGTATAAATTTTGGTTAAATCAAAATACCGAACTACATAAATCATGTTACCGAAAACCAAACAGTAATACCCAAGTTCAAAAAAATATGAACTGATACCAAAATGAAGGCCGAGAAACCAAATCTATTCGATTTGGATTGGATGAGTATTTCGATTTTTCGATATTTATGTCCATCTCCTTTCTCTATCCCATTTTTTTAACAAAAGATGTACTAAAAGAGAATTGAATTTTCTTTCGTTTATCATATCATTCTTAGAGTTAGTAAAATAAATCCATTACTATCAATGGAGAAAATCAAATTTTAAAAATGAATTATGTAAGAAAAAAGTGATTATGTTTAGAAATACAAACCCATACCTATGTATAAGGAGTCAAGAATATATAGAATTTATTTTTTAGTCAAAAGTTCTTTGTATAAGAGATCATATATTTACACCTAAAAAAGTTCTCAAAAAATCAGTCTTTTTTCTATTTTTTTAATTTATACAACTGACATAAAAGATCATTTCCACCTCGAATGAGATGGAAAAAGAAAATGGGCTACAATAATTGTTTAGTTAATGGTCCAAATTAAGAAGTGCTTGACCATAATTTTTTTGAACATTCCAAAATTGACTTTCAAGTTGAATTTTGAAAATTCCAGAACTCAAAATTGTTGAAAAAAATGAAGATTTCCAACAACAATTTCCATCCCCCAAAACACCCGTTCCGATAATCTCAACTTTCCTGAATTTTATGAACAAATAATCTCATCAACCCAAACAGAGAACAAAATGATACTCCCTCGGTCGAACAGTACTTTTTTGGTTCCCACCTGGTGTCCGGTACTCACATTGAAGCCCTATTAAATTCAAATTCGGGCTGAAAAGTCTCACATTGGGGTAAAGTGCTTCCTAACAAAAGCGATTACGTACCCAAGAGGGCTCGAACTCAAGATTTAATAATGGATAACTATTGTTGAACTGAGAAAATTTCAATTTCCATTAAGCTAATTCAAAACTGAACAATCAAATCTGAAAGAGCTGACGAATACGAACCTTCATAGCTGATTAGAGGAACTGGACTCGAACAGGAGCCCGCGGGTGAACGATCGAAGGAATTATTTTTTTAGAAGCAGTTTGGGTGTATGAGTTATGGCGGAGTTAAGTCGGCAATTCAAGGCTAGGTATGACGGTGTCACTGCCGGTGAATCAGATAGCCGCTATGAATTTTGTTAGGCGGTGAAGTAAGTAAATTTATGGAGCAAACATTGCCGGTTTGAATGGGGTCACTGTTGTACGGAGGCAGAAATCAGTGGCCCTCTAAATTCTTAACTCCCCAATTTCACTAAATATGAGTGTATATAGTAGAAAATAAAGGAAAAAGAAATGTCTCTCCTCGATTTATATTTACAATAATGACGTTTTCACAAGTGGTTCATTTAATAAATTCTTTGAGATTTTATGCTCGAACGAATTTTACGATGTTGAAACTCTCTTTAAATTAATAAATATTAATTTATCAATTAAATAATACGTTTACAAAATAATAATATTTCATGATCCACCTATATTAATTTAGTGAGGTTTTACTGTATATGTCATTCTTATTAAAATTAGATATCCTTAATATTTGTCATTTCATAAAATCATACATAAATAACACTAATTTTCTATATTATTTATTAGCCTTGAAAGTATAAATTTGACCAACATATGAAAATTAAACGATTAATTTATGCTTAATTAATTTAACTAATCAAAATAAATTAATTTATGTTCATTTATTGAAATCAAGAAAACCCTAAGTAATGATACACTGTTAAATTTACTTAGTTTCTTAACAATCATGAAATATAAAATGATGACATATAAATGAAAACAAAGAAAGTATAAGATGAAATCTAAATTTTCAAAAAATTCAAGTAATCAATCAATTGATATATTAAAATTTTCTACCAGCACAATCCAATAATTTAATTATTTGAAGATTTTACACAAATAAGATCTTTGACTTCACTATTTAATATTTTAATTCCGTTTAAAAAAAGTTTTGCTACAAACAAATTCATCACTGCTATAATAACATAATTTTTTTTTGATAAATTGTCATAATTTTAAATTGATAAGCAAAACTTTTTTTATGTTGATAATAATCAAGATTTATTTCCAAATTTTGATAGACCTATCAAAATCTGAAACACCACTATCGCATGCCGAAGTTCTTTTTTGTATTTTTGCTAGGGAGACTTCTGCGTTGTATTTTATTTTTATTTTTTGTATTGTTATTACATGTTCCTTTTGTGTTTTATTTTCATTTTTGTTATACTCTTCACTTTTCAATAATTTATTTATTAAATTTTTGAAATTATATTTACTCAGATCAATTTAATATTTTAAAATATAGTTATTTGAAAAAATATATATGTTAAAAATATTATAAATTACGATACTTCTCATGTCAATATCATAAAATATATATTATTAAATGTCAATTAAAATTTATATAATTTGAATCTCAAAAATTAAAGCGTGTCACATAAATTTCAACTTACTATCTAAGAAATGGGAATAAGAACACACGTCATTGTTAATGTATGTGCTTCTCGAAAATAGATTTAAGCTTGAGGTTAATCTTGTCATTTTAGATTTATTTCTAGCTTGTGGCATTTTACTTCTATGCTTTTTTATTAATTAATTTTTTCAAAATTTATGACTTTTTTCTTCTATATTTTTATAGTAATAATTTATTTATTTTTGAAGTTTGAATTAAAGTTAAACTTGTGTTTGACCATATATTTTGTAAAAAATATTTTGAGTTAGGAGATATTTTTTTAGATATGATTTATACTCTTAACTTCTAAAAATTAGCAAAGTCATTCAATTTGACTAATTTTAAAATTTAATTATATATATATATAAACTGCATAAAAATTATTTTAAAAAAATCACAATATTTAACAATTCAAATATTTATAAAGATATATAAAAAATTATGATAAAAAAATATATTATAAAAAGTACTAACCAAACACAACTACAACTTTACAAATTCAAATAAATGAAAATATATGTAATAAAGTAGGGCGTTGAATGGAAAAAGCTGAAGCATAATTAATTGCTTTTTTTCATAATCCGTACTAACTACTTAATTAACTAGGTGTACCTGATGTTTCTCATGTGGGGTTGTTGGGTTTTATTGTACGTTTTGACAAAGTTTATGAAAAATTAGTAGTGCTTATTTTTTTTTTTTTTTCTAAAAAATGCTTATTTTAAATAAAGTGAGATGTTTGGTCAATTTTTTGGTTTAAAAAATATTTTTTTTGGAATATTATATGTAGAATGAAATTGTAATTAAGATTCCAAAGTCACCTTATAAATTTATTTTCTACCGTGATTCCTTTAATGCAAGCAAGATACGATGTCAAAGCATTGTCCTATACAATAAAAAAAAACTCCTAATTAAATTAACACGTGTCATGTAATGATTGGTGTGTGAACACACTTGCTTCTTAAAATCTGGGGCAGATCGAAAAATGATATAATAATATTTGTTCAAAATTGTTTAGTGAGATAATACGACTATTGCAAAGTTAAGGTGTGTTTTTGAAAATTCGGGACAACTTCAGTGGCGACTTTACGTCCTTTCTCTTTAGTTTTCAAATAATGTATATTTTAGTCACATTAGATTTTTAATATTTGTTTATGCTCTATGAGTTAATTACATGTATTAGCTTCCATATTTCCTTTCAGTTTGAGTTGTATGTTTCATGTTTGGCCAAGGGTTAGCTTGGGCCACACATGGTTTCAAGTGTTGTGTTACATCCAGGGAGTAGACTCGAGTCATGACAAATTTAGTATCAAGTTATCCTTATTGATGTGGGTGGGCCAGAGTTTAACTAAGTTTAGGCAAATCTTGATAAGAGAGACCAAACATCAGTGTTGAGTCTAGGCAAATCTCATGCACTGGGGTAAACCTCAGCGAGGACATTGAGTCCATAGATATGAGTATGTGACACCCTAGCTTAAGATAAGAAGTCTCACACCAATAAAACACAAGAGAGATGTTGGGTATATAAGTAAGTAGTCCTTATCAACTACATACGTGTTCTAAAGTCGTGCGGACTAGGTCCAGAGCAGACAATATCACAAGTGGAATGGGCCGTGAAAAACTGGTATCAAAACAAAAGGTTCAAGTGTCTATGAAGTTGTGTAAGTAGAATCTTATTTATGATTGTGAGGGCCCACTTTTATAAATGAGGGACTGATAATAAAGCTCAATTTTACGCCTTCCTAGACAGGTCTAAGGATGACTGATGTAGTATTCACATGTACTATTCTCGTCTATAATCAAATAGCTTCTGTTTTGTTTGATTCAGGCTCCACATATTTTTTTATGTATTTGTTAAATTTGCCTTGGGTTTCAATATGATTTGTGATACTCTTGATAACCCTATTTATGTTTCCACCTTGGTTGGATATTCTATAGTGGTGACCCATGTTTATCGCTTTTGTTCTGTAATGTTTGAGGGTCTTTATACTTGGGTAGATATGGTTACACTGGATATACTGAATTTTGATGTGATTTTTGATATGACTTGGTTGTCTCCTTATCATGTTGTGCTAAATTGTTATGCTAAAAAAGTAATTCTAGAAATTTTGGGTAGAGATAGACTAAAGTAGGAAGGGGTGTACAGACCTAAGTTAACAAAGATCATATCCCTCTTTTCGGATATGAAGCTAGTGGGATAGGTTTTCTAACCTATTTGGCCCATCTTCGGGATGTTATTGCGGAATCCCTTATATCGAGTCAATCTTAGTGGTTTCTGAGTTTCCAGATGTATTTCCTACGGATCTGTCTGGGATGCCTCCAGATAGGGACATTGATTTTTGCATCGACTTAGAGTCGCGTACTCGTCCAATTTATATTCCTCCTTACCACATGACTCTAACAAAGTTGAGGGAACTTAAGACTCAACTTCAAGAGTTTCTAGATAAAAGGTTTGTTCGTCCTAGTGCATCACCTTGGGGATGCTCCAGTGTTACTTGTGAAAAAGAAGGATGATAGTATGAGGTGGTGCATAGACTATCGACAATTGATTAAGGTCACTATCCGGGATAAGTACCCTTTATCTCGCATAGACGATCTCTTTGAACAGTTGCAGGGTGCTTTAGGGTCTGTTTGGAAAGCCACCTGATAATTGAAATTAGTGTAATTACTAGGGTAATAATTACCAGCCTAGTAATTACACTAACCTGTTTTGTTGTCATAGTGTAATTACACATGTCCTGTTTGAATGTCACAGTGTAATTACACATGTTCTGTTTGGATGCACAATAGCAATCATAATATTATATTAAATTTAAAAATAAAAATTAATTATTTAAAATTTTTACTAGACAAATAAGAAACTATATAAATGATATTAAATTAAAGATTTAAGATATATATTATTTTTTGAAAATATATTAATTAATAAACATATGTTCTTAACTAATATTATGAAAAAATAATTGATTTATATTTTTTCAAATTAATATATTTCAATTGAATTGATCATAAAAACTAAAAGTATGAAGTTCTACTAAAATCGTGAAATGCATATTTGATAAAAAAAATTAATATATAAATAAAATGTCATAAATTATTAAAATATTTGACAAAAAGATAATCGATCAGGTCGAATTAAAAAATGACTTGCAATGTGCATTCAATATTAATAAAACAAATGAAACTGAAAATATAACATAAGTTATAGATTCAAAATAAAAAATTTAACATAATACTCTTATCGCAAATTTCAACATAGCATACATAAATATGATTATTATTTTTTTTAAAAAAAAACGTAACTCTATAACCTTACTTAACAATCAATTCTATTTTAATTAAAAAATGAAAATACTAATAGAATTATGCTAATGAGAAAATAAGCATGACATAAAGAAATAGATAATACGAAAAAATTGCATAGAATCACATTAAGTAAGGTTGAGAACGACAAGAAAATAAAATATAATAATAAAAAATAAAAAATAAACTTTTAGAATAATAAAAATAAAAAAAGAACTTCAAATAATAGAAGTAAAAAAATAAAATGAAAAAAAAGAAATTAAAAAAAAAAGAAATTAAAAAGTAATCAGCTAGTAATTACACCATGTAAGGATTAGATTAATTTAAACAAATTATGCAAAAAAGAAGTTCCACTATGATTCGTACTAGACATGACCTTGTATTTGATAACCATTTTATTAGAACGTTATGTGATTTAATTTTGTGTAAACATACACAATCCAAATTACGTGGTAGGGAACTAATCGGACTTTCTCAAAAAAAAAAATCAAAGGAACATTCATGTGGTTAATGATACGTCTAAATTGGTCGAAGCAAAATGTCAGGTAATCACGTCTAAATTGATTGAAATTAAGTACCTTTATGGTGAAGAGCAATTCAACGCGTCTTCAACTAATTCCAATTTGATGTTGTACACTTTGTTTATTGATTTCTCCAATTCTGAAAAGTCAAAAGATAACTAGCCAATTTTATTGACAACTGAGATATCATTGTAACATTTTGTCAAATCCATCTGGATGGTTTCTTCTTTTATGTTATTTTATTATTATTAAATCTTTATCTATTTGGTTGGGGGATGTGATGGGGGAGTGACTCTATTTGAATAATATTAATAACTGAATAATTGTTTTTATGATTAATACAATTTTTGAACTTTGTGGAATAAAAATACCTTTCCCCTATAATCGAATCTTTTTCTATCTCAAGCTGCTGGGGTTACTAATTAGAAATGAAGCTAAAGGGGCCAATTTTTCAAACAAAAATGTGTAAAGTGACACTTGTTTAACTATATAAACAAATATGGATGAGTTACTAGCGACTTGTCCAAATTAATAACGGCCACCTAGATATCCATTTATCCATTTTAATAATTTAAAAAAAATATTATTTTTAGTAAGTCACAACTTACCATTATTGTTTTTAGTAAGTTGTTTGGCTTTGACCGACTTATTATTATTTCTAAAAAAAATTTAGTAAGTCGCTGATGTTTGAGCAACTAATCATTATTATTTTTTATTTTCTTAAATAAGTCGTTGTAAGTTGAGCGACTCATCTTTTGATCTTAATTTTCTATTCATACAATGTCATATCTCTGTATTTGCGAAATCATTTTTTTTTTTTGGTAACTAACATTTTATTAATTACTAGAGACAAAACATTACAATCAAGCAGCTATCACAGCATGCTTTGTTCTCAAAATTAAAACATCAAACTGCCCTCTAACACTACATTCTATTACTCAGAATTTAAATTCATTTACATCCTTTTTAATACTAGTTGGAGCTCGAGCAATAGTCACATAGGCTATCTCTTTGGCTACATTTTCCTCCAGTTTGCTCTTTTTCTCGAAAATTCTGTTGTTCCTCTCAGTCCACAACCCATAGACTCCTTCAGCCAATATAATCTTGAAAATTTGAGCTGTTTAAGTCTTCCCCTTCCCATGTTGAATACTCCATTGTATAAACTGTCCCCATGTCATTGGTACCACACTAAGCTGATGACTCCATTTAAACAACCTTTCCCATAGCTTCCTCGCAAATTGGCATTGGATGATCATATGATGTATAGTCTCTTCTGCTTTCTTGCATAAGATGCAAGTCTTATTTACTTCCACGCCCCATTTAGCTAGCCTGTCAACCGTTACTAACTTCTTGTTAAGCATAAGCCACATTGTGAAGTAAGCTTTTGGCCTTGCTGCATTGTTGAACATGAGGCATTTCCAGTCAGGCCTTTGCAGTTCCCATATCATATACAGATAAATCTGCCTGATCATACTCCCTTTCTTGCCCTGCATCAGATGGATTTGATCAATTGTATGTTTAGCACTCATTATTTTCCTTATCATCCAGCTGGCTTGTTTATCTTGCCACATGCTCTGCCCCTTTATATAGTATGTATGTATCCATTTGATCCAAAGCTTGTTCTCTTTATTTGCTAAATCCCAGTACAATTTGGCCACTACAGCTTTGTTCCAGACTTGCATATCATGGTTAAGAAATCATTTTCTTAACCATGATATTTTATTTTTATAAAAGTTCTGATTGTGAAACAACTTTTTAATTTATGTTTGTGGGTGTGGACGTTTGAAAAATAAAGAGACCTTTAAATCGCCGATTTGGCTGACGAATTTCATTAAAAAGTCATTTATTTTTATTTTATGGTCCTCTTACATTCCTAGAAAGGGTATTCTTGACCTTTTACCCTCAATTAAGTTCCCTAAGTCTAAATCATGGCCTAATAACCTCCCCATTCATGGCTAGCCCTCAAGACAAATCAAATTCACATGTTCTAAATTCTCTCAAAGAAGAAGCTAGGGTTCTCCAACTTCAAGCTTCAGTTCAAGGTTTGAAGTCAATCTCATCTTCTCATGTATGTAAGGCTATCATAGTGATGGACTGAGTTCATCCTCACACCCTACCTATATCTAAATTAATAAAAGAGTAATCTAGGGTTTTATCTTGGATTTTGAGTATTGTTGATATGAGTAGTATCGTTGAGTGTTGAGTTCTTGATTTTTGAGTGTTGAGTTTTTCATATTGTTATTGAGATCCTTAAGTTTATTTGTTTATGTCTATATTTCAGCATGAAACCTATTTTGAGAATCTTTTAAAGAATTTTTTTTTGTCTTAAACTGATTCTCCGAGAAAGTAGAGATGAGTTTTGAGAAAGGGTTTTAAACATGATTTGAGTAAGAGTATAAGGGAACTAAGTATTCCCAAATGTATCACTTTTTACATTGAGGAAAGAGAAATTTTGATTTCTAAATTAGTTAATGAATTCAAAGATATTTCAGAGCAGTTACCTCTTTTAAGAGGATATTTTAAGAAATTAATGAGTGTATATTTACTGGGAGTAGTATTGAGCCCTGGTATGTGGATGAGTTCGGACAACTCACATTTCTCATAAACTATGTAGCCAACATGGGTAAAGGATTGTACTTTTTAGATGACTCTTTATTGCTTTTGAGCAGAGCTTTAATGGATCCACTTAGTTGAGATGTTCTATAACGTGGCAAGGTATAAGACAGTTCTAGAAGCGGGGATAAGATGTTGTATCATCACGTTGCTCACAGTTATGGTTGTCGATTAGAGAATCTCTCAAAAGAGTTAAAAGCGTATTTTTATCATATCACATAATATGTTGAGTTTAGAGATAAGTAAGTGTTTTGTAAAGTTTAAATAGCTTCACTCCCTTATTTCTTTACATTCAGTTGAGTATAGATTTATATCTATTGCAGTTTTTTCATTCATTCATTTTGTGTCAGCTAATATTACATACTCATACATTCAATGTACTAATGTTATTTGACTTGCATCTTTTTATGATGAAGATACAAGTGTTTAGGATCATCAATAGGCGCTTCGTTGAGATCATTTTGCACTTCCCATTTGAGAGTTTTGGTGAGTCATCCTTGCATTTAGGAGGGCCCCATTTTTCATTTTAGTATTTACTTTGGACCATCGAGGGTCTTATCCCAACGTCCATGTTGAACTTAGAGGCTTCAAAGATGAATAGAGTTGAATTGTTTCAAAAATTCTTTCTTTATATGTTTAGCGAATATTATATTTTGCTAAAATGAGCATTTGAGACAGTTGAGTTATATTTTTCTCTTTAAAGCTTTTAACTTGCTTGATTCAAATCTTCCGCTAAGTAGTCAGCTAGACCGATGATTTTTTTAGGAGCCAGCAATGGTTCTCGATTGTCGGCCACGTCTAGGGTGTAGTCTCGGGGACTGACAGTAACATGGAATCTACTAATACAAACTCACCCAGGGGGTCGAACACGCAACGACACTACCAAGGGCTCAGAACTCATACTCAACCGAGAAGCAGAATGCACATATACATATGAAAAAAATAGAGTCGGATCAGATAAAGTATATGCGAGCTAATGGAATAAAATAATTGTACCTATTATAATAACCTTTGATGCCTTAGGCTCCGCCCTTTCTAGAGTTGTAAACAGATAGGCCTTTTTGCCTCTTCCTTGAGCATTAGTCCTATCACTAGACCTGCCTCCCCAGGGTCCACCCTGTGTTTCCTGATAACCGCCTCACTATTCTTGACCCTGGGCACCGCCTCTAGTTGGGGTTGCTATCACTCTCACTAGCCTAGCTAGGTGGAGATCAAATGCAATTATCCCACGTCGGGGACAGTCTCTAGATCAATGATAAAGCTCACCAGAGCCATAGCAACCCTGTGACTCAGAACATTATATAGTAGGTATAAGGATAGAAACTAAACAAGAATAAACAATTTAATAGAATTAACAGGAGAAATAAGAGGAACCAAAACATAAATATTGTAACATCCCGCCTTATAAAGAGTTAATTTTAGAAAGCGCTAAATTGGAAATAGCTAAATTGAGAATTTTACAATTTATGCTTAAGTTATGGGTTTTGGGTCAACTTCAAATGACCATAACTTTCAATACATGAAGAGTTAGGTGGCCCATAAGATGTTAAATGAAATGTCTTTTAATCCTCTTTCTAACTCCACCGAGTATGCTAAGTTTCGAGTTCGGATGAAGGAGATATGTCCGTTTGAAGTTAACTTGTCCAGTTAAGGAAAGTTATCTGAATTAATGACGGGTATTTTGGTCTTTTCCTTACCTCATCAGCTTTAAACAAATTTAGTAATACTTTTGGGGTCAAAGTTGATTTGGGTCAGTTTTCATTATCCCAAATACGCTTAGGGTTTTGACAGGAGTTCAAGAAGAGGAAAAGAGGAGAAAAGGAAGAACGATCAAGGTTCTTGCGAATCAACGACTTGTTTTGCCAAATCGAGGTATGTAATTTTTCATAGTGTTGGGTTCATTCACCCACATGCCAATCATGATTTACATATTCGAATTCATCCATAAAGTTTGAAAGATTTAAGTTCTTGATGAGTGTTCTTGAAGTGTTATTTTTGTTCTTGAATTAGGATGAGTTTGATGAGTTCTTGAGATAAATATTATGAGTTTGAGGGTTTTTTTTGAGTATATTCTCGTGCACTTGTATTGGATAATTGAATCTAAGGAAAATTTGAGGAAAACAATCGATTCTAGACGAATTAGGGTCAGAAAATGAGAAGAAAAATTTATCAGAATGTTCTGCGATAGGGCTGGGGCAGCGTGCCCCAGCAGTGTGTCAAAAAGGAGCCTCTGAAGTTCAGGGGCTGGTGCCCCGTGCCAGCAGAGCTCCAGGGTCACCTACCCTCACTCTTTTTCTTTCGTTAGTTCCGTCTAAGTCCTTTTAAAGTGTACCTTTACTCCCTATTGATTCTAACTACTCTAAACTACATCTAAACATCGAGAGATCATTCATAACATAGATCATAACCCTTGAATCCATAATTCAATTTCAAGGTAGAGTTGAGAGTAAAGTCTTGAGAGTTCTTTCGAGTCTTTTTGAGAAGTCTTTTACAATCTTTTAAAACTTTTTTTAAGACTTGAGTACTTGAGGAAGAGTAGAGTTGAGTTTCATTTTTTTCAAAATGAATATATGGGAACTAAGTATTCACATGAGTAAATGTTTTTACATTTAAAATGAGGGAAACACCGATTTCCAGAGGAGTTCATGCGGAGTTTTAAGTGCTATCTCTTTTAAGAGAAATCTTTTGAGTAGTAATGTCGAAGTTGAGGATGAGGAACTGTTTTTTAAACATATGAGCTAAGTTATATTTTGGGAGTATTATTGAGAATCGATAAAGGGACGAGTTCAGATAACTCAAAGTCCTCATAAACCATATAGCCAATGTGGGTAGAGAGGGTCATACTTTTTAGATGATTCCTTATTGATTTTTAAGCATAGGTTAGTGGATCCACTTAGTTGAGGAGTTCTATATTGTTATCTACTGTTTTAAGGGCTTTATATAAATTGCATCTTTATTGCTGTTTTTATACTGCTTTGAGTTGAGTATCCATGAGTTGAGGTTCAATTGAGTAGAGTTGAGGTAAGTAAATTTCCTTCTTTATAAGTTCAAGTTGTTATGTTATGTTCAGTATTCCCCTTACATGATCGTACATTTAATGTACTAATGCCATTTGGCCTGCATCGTTTCATGATGCAGATACATGAGATCAAGGTCATCAACAGGCGATTCGTTGATACCAGTTGCAGTTCCATAGTTGTTTGGTGAGCCTCCTTTCTTTCGAAGGATCCTTTATTTGTTTTCATTTATTTCAGTTTTGTTAGGATGATCAGGGGTCTTTTCCCGACATACCTCATAATATTAGAGGCTTCATAGATAGATAGACAATAGTTCATGAATCTTTTCATTTTCAAATATCAATGTTCTAGACTTGAGTTGCCTCTTTGGCTAGTAAATGTTTTATTTCCAAAATATTTTGAGTTTACCTTTTTGAGACAGTTGAGTAAAGTTACTTTTGAGTTCTTTTAATGTTGAGTAAGTCTTCCACTGAGTGTTGAGCCAGGCTAAGGGTTCCCTTGGGGCCAACAATGGTTCGCGAGTGTCGGTCACATCCACGGTGTAGGATCGGGGGTGACAAACTTGGTTTCAGAGCACATATTTCAAGAGTCCTAGGGTGTCTATGAAGCCGTGTCTTTAGAGTCATAGTTATCGGTGTGAAGCGCGCCACATCTATAATTAGAAGGCTACGATATTTATGAACTATCTCACTTCTTTCATACTATCACGCCCCGAGGCTACCCCCTTGATGTAACACAGGACCTAGGATCACGAGTAACCCCAAGCTAACCCTGTGTCTGACATATATCAAGTATATTGAGAATCACTGAATAAAATATCTACTATGCGGAATCTAAAACATGGATAACTGAAAGTGGGGAATACCCAACGAGTCTGAATGTATAAAACATACTAAGAGTTTAATAATGTCACGACCCATGGGTACCCCCTAGATGTAACAAGGCGTACAAGACCCCGAGAGGCCTCATACAAACCCCTTAGCATATCATAACATAAAGCAATAGAAATGATGCAGAAATTTAAAACATTTTTCCATAATATCAAAGTCTTT